ATTAACGCACGTTTTGGTCTAATGTTTAGTATACTTGACAGCACACTTTCAATTCAAACCTATATCATCTGGTCACGAGAAAATAAAGATGCATCCTTTATGAAATTTCTCCAAGAAATCTGGTCAACAGTAAATCCCTTTTCCGCAAAACCACCACCCTACATGATTTTCCAGGCTCTCGGCTTTGCTCAGTTTTTCATGAGTTTTACTGCGACATCAATCTTAATGTCCAGCGGTGTTGTTCCAAGTACTATCCAAGGAAGTCATACAGAGGGACTGTTGCGATCCTATTTCGTAACAATGGCAGTTCATGCTGTCTTACAAATTCTTGCCTCGGGCGCTCGAAATGTTCCTTTCCAATTGCCTCCGTGTTTTACCGTGTGATATGGAACATTCCAGTTTTCTTCCTGCTGGCGATGACGTCTCAAATACCCAGAGGATTGGCCAACATTCTCATTATTTATGACGTTATGTTTATAGTTCTTACTGTCGTGCTCTTTGCAAGAGAACATCGTGTTAAAACGAAATGAACATATTCAATATGATTGACCTTATGTAGTATTAGTTTATAGTTCTTATGGGGAATTGACTCGAAAACTTTACTTACAGCTTCAATTCCCCAGCACCGTTCTCTGTCATATAAAACTTTATTTTAATGATCTAGTAATGTTTTTTTGAGTGCAAAAAACAATTCTATTCTATCTGTTGGTTCCCAGCGCAGTGCAACCAGTTTCCTGCTAATATACTATAGATTTTTAAATAGATTTAAAAATATGTATATAGTTTCCATGTAATTCAATAGGCAGGGTTGAGATATACGACCGTCATTTCTAAAACGTTTGCATACTAAAGATGTTTCCTTACAAAATATAAACTCAAATCCTTGTCCGCCAACAATATAATGAACAGTTATATTAATCCAGGATACCGAAGGTCACGCATATCACCTCGATTGCTTACAAAATACAGTCGTTTCAAGTTTATGTTAATGCGTATAACTTGACAACTTAGAAATTGGTATGAACAGTTCAACAGTTTTGCACAAAAAAACACTTTAAGAGGATGTCTAGAAAATTGGCAACAAAGCCAAAGGACCGGTGCTCTAGAGCCAGATTTTTTTAAAATTACACTATCAGTTGTAACCAGGGCTCAAAATAACGGCCAATCAATGGGCAATAACTGGCCACCCCTAATCCGAAAGAGGTTTTATGCATGTTGTGCAATTTATTGATAATTCGTTTAGCTCGTGCAGCAACAGTTTAATTTTGTTTGTGTTGGTCAACCCATATGATAAAGATTTCCCCGAAAGGATGCAGTAGTAACGATGATAACGTTGCCTATAATTCACCATCATACAATGTGATTGCCAATGTCTTGAATATTTAAAACGAGAAGCAATAAAAGCAATTAACGGAATGTCTTGAAACAATTCTTACGATTTGTTTCACTGTCAGTCTATGCGTATTAGTGACCGGTCAAAAACAGATTTTGACCGAGCTAAAATCAAATTTACCGGTCATTTTGACTGGAGACTTATCAAAATTTCCCCCTGAAGTCTATTTCTCATTCAGCGTTCTTGAGAGCCGCGACGCAGGCTATCAGCGTTCCTCTAACTTTTCTTCCCAATTTTATTGATTTTTTTCTTTTTTGCTACTACCCTGAAAGAGTCCTAGAATATCGTGTATGTGTAATTAGTTTATACTTTATAGCCAATGTGAAATGCTTCCCAGAAGGGTTTATTGCTGTTATCAAGGTTTTACTTATACACTAAATGCTTATTGCTTATTATCAAGGTTTTACTTATAATCTCATGCTTATTGCTCTATTGTTCTGTGAATAAAGTTGTTTTTGACGATAAGGGAGAATGGCATATTCTGTCATGTAGCAAAATTAAAATCAATGCAGCAAAATAAAATAGGCAAGGAAAGGGGAATGGCAATATATATATTTTTACCGTTTTTTCATATCTTGTTTACTTCTACAAATATTTTAATCGAAAGAAATGAAATGTTCGCCATCTTGGATTTTTGTAGATATGCATGTTACGTCACAACAGGGGTCATGCAATATTTACTATTATCCGGCCGGATAATTTGTTTTTCATAAAGTGTACTAAATTTCCGTTAATTGAAACATAAAAAAATACTAAAAAAATGGAAACCCAAAAAAGTACAAAAAGCTAGCCACTGATATAGTTAATTGAATTAATTAACCATTCGCTGCAGCCTTTGGCGCCAAAAGCCGTACTAAATCCCATCGCTCAAAAACTTTCGGAAGTTTTGGGAAACACGTGAACGGTGGAAAATGCTAAAAACAGATTTTTAGTTAATTAACCATAATTGGTTACTCGAAAATTCAAAAAAATAGTGTCACCTAAGCTTCTTCAGCACTAATACATGGATGAGAAAAATCATTATAATAAATATTATATGTCAAGTACTCAAATTGATAAAATATCCGGTATCCGGCCGGATTTTTTTCAGATATCCGGCTAATCCGGTATCCGGCCGGATAGTAAAAATCACTATCCGGTGCACCCCTAATTAAAATGTACCTATATAAATGTTTTGAAAGGTGCATGCAAACCAGCAAAAACAGTGGAGGGGGGACATCATATGATCTCATCACGAAATGGTTTGGGGGGGTATGGTGGTGTGAGCCTGCTAGGGGGTTCTGGGAAATTTTGAAATCTGAGGCTTCCCACAAGTGCTGTGAAAACTCCAATTTTTCAGCACGCTCAAATATCTGGCTGTGGTGGTTCACAACACATGGAATAAAGTCTATAACGGGATAATGTCAGATATTATTCAGCTCAAGTTTGTTCCCAAGGTAAGATGACGTGATGCAGGGTTATGTGCCGATATGTACTCATAAATCGTGATTGACGACTGGGTACGAGTCAGATGCAGGGTATCAAAGCATGAAGCTTGTGATTTACAACTTTTCCTGCGTGTGATATAGATAGATCACAGGCATAACAACTTAAATAATATTGCCATTTGGCGACTTACTGCAATTTGGCTGTTTGCATGTAACCAATGCTAATTCTACGAATTATTTGCATGTACGATTATTTGCATGTAACCAATGCTAATTCTACGAAATTGTCACATTTCTTGTCATCTGACTTTCCAGCTGGAGCTACAATCAGGAGCAAAAATTATTGAGACAACCGCATAAATGCCCCCCACATCCCCAATTCAATGTTGTGTGAATGACTGAAAAGAGAAAATTCAACTCACTTTTTCCAACATTGATTATGGGGGCAGGGGGGAGGCCGATGTACTTTAAAATGGCCAAAATGTGAAAAGTCTCATTATTTTTGCACGTGATTGTCTGAGATGGAGCTGTTTGGGGATTAGCTGTTCAAAATTTAAAATTTTGCCAAACTCTAGCGATCAAGTTGGCATGAAATTGACATATTTCAATCAATTAATCGAAAATTTTTTGTTCCCCAAAATGTAGAATTCTGCAAGGAGGCTGCGCGGGGGACTGGGCAAGAATAAAGAAGCTTTTCTAACGAATTTAATTGTTTTACTAACATTTACTTCTACAGCTACAGAAAATCTTTGGGAAAATAAACAAGCTGAAGGCTAAATACGATCTATTAAAATACTTGGCGATATAGTAAGACAAATCCAATAAGACTGCATAAAATCTAATGTAGTGTTTTAACTACTCTTACGTCCTTTCAAGCTCAAAACTACTCTTACGTCCTTTCAAGCTCAATTAGCCATCATTTCCTGAGGAGGGAGTCATTATATGACAGTTCCTTAGCTTAGGCATATGACGAAAAATAAGAAAACTTTGTCATTTATACTGCAGTATGTGCTGTTGTGCTTGTGGGATGTTCACCAACTAATCTAAAGTGATTAGTTCATGTAAATTTTATGCACTTGGCTTCATTAAGCAAACGCTGACACGTTACACACACGTTACATACACGTTACACTACACGTTACACCTATACTTTACATAATAATCTGTAGTAAAATATAAATATAACACGTTACACCCATTGTTTTTAAATATATATATATATTATTATATCTTCAACTCTATTAAATATATATATATATATATATATATATATATATATATATATATATATATATATATATATATATA